TGAGTCATACAGAGTCTGTGAATGTATAGCAGATATTTATAAGTGTACATGTGTTGTGTGTGATTAGTGTTATTATAGTAAGAGAGACTTAGAAGTGCATGTGTGTGCATGGGTATATTATATTTGGCAAAACAAAATAATTTTTGTGTTTTTGTGTTTAATCGATGCTGTCACAAGTAAATATGTGGTCTGAGTAGCTCGTTGTGTGATATGGTCGATCGGCTCGGCTGTAAATGGTGTAAAGCAAGCAATATTATTATGTTTTAGTGCTCATCTGGATTTATGAGTATAGAGTCTCCATAGATCATAATTGTTATGACTCATCTTCTATATAGTACTGTTTGTTCTTCTATTGTACATATTTTGTGTCGCTTCCAACGTACGTTGCAAACTTTGACATCGTCTTCTAAAGCAGCAAGTCAACACATGCATTTCGCACGTCAGGCAACATATTCGTTTTATAGTTTTCAGTTTTCACTATCACTTGTAGATAGTTACATAATTACTGATGTTCACATCATTATCTCACGCTATCCTCATCCTGATTAGGTGTTTGTGTAGTGGAGATCGAAGGGATTAGGAAGACTAACGTGTCTTGATATAAACGCGCCGCAAGTCCGTTACGACTAGCCACACGGCTTATATGATACAGTGTTTTAGATGTGATTTAGCTTGTATACTGGTTGTCTGACAAGTATTCAGGTGCTTTATTGAGGTCTGAAAACTTAATAAATGTTTGGTAGCTCTAGTCAGTTCCTACGTGAGCAGTGAACAATATTGAGGCTAGGCACATGGCTAAACGGAGTATTTGTTATAGTATTCTGAATGTCATTGTAATGCGAAAATTTTAGTTTGTAAACAATGGTCAAAAAAGAGCATTTATTGATCGTGAGGAGAGACAACTTTTCAGTAGCGCAGCCATGTATTCATCGGATCTATTGTATGTAAATATCGAAAGATCTTGCAGGTTATATCTTACCAATAATATATGATGTATGTCTATTTACATCTATTATGTTCATTTCTTGTTAATAACAATACGTATCTGGCGACAAGTAGTGTTGATACAAAGAGTCGGAAATATATAGTATTATATTTACTTAGCTTATAAGTATCTTTGTATATACATATATGAGGTAAAAATTGACGAATGATCGTGGAGAATGAACATGATGGGAGACAATACAGAGTATTGATGAGGCGGCCGTAGTTTGCCGGCAGTAAGACGAGCAATAGACTGATACGTTTCTGTGGCTAAATGAAGGCGAAATTGCGCGAGAGAGAGAGAAAGAGAATATGAAGAATCGAAAATAAGTCACTATGTTCAAGGTGGACAATGATGTATGACTATCAGCAGATAAGAGCTGATTGTTCTGGCATAAGTTTCTTGGATTATACGGGTTTCTTGGACGTAACTCCAATTATTTCGCAATAACATCTATGAATTAATTGATGGATTTTTTCTTTTTCCGTTTATATATTTCAATTTACCATTGTCACACTGTGCATCCGATCGTCTGGTCATTAGTTCGAGTTTGGGGGCCGCTCGCGTGTCGATTCGTGATTACTAATAATTAGACTATGGACAAGTTAAAACCATTGAGAACGTTGCAAATCGACCTTTAAAGCCCGGGTGGCGTGAGAATGCGTCTGTGATTGTGTTGTACTATGATGGAACTATGGCATTTATACAGTCGCTCTTGGACTTAACATCACAACCACTCTGAGGGGGTCGCGAGTCAATCTTGCCTAGGTATGCTTTGCTTTTTTATTTTTAATTCTCCGATAAAATTTTCACCTGGGCAGGGATTGCTACTAGAAACTAATTGCTTGGGATGATAGACTTACTCGGCTAGATATTATGGTAGAAATTGCAGACAGTACATTGCTGGTTTTAGCGGTAACAGAACAGATTTTCATTATAGAGATCAAGCTGTAAGACATGTGGCTGATGATACCTGCTTACATGAGTACAAGTCTATAAGAAGAACAATGGATCGAGTATTATGTTGATCTGGTTCTAAGCTGATGGCAGTGCGCCCCTGGACTTGATGTTGCCTCGTATGTACGGATACTTGTGCATAGGACGGCGGCGGCTCAGTCAACAAGTGTCGTGCATTACTCGAATATTAGCTTTACCGCTTGGTCTGACGCATGCTTTCAGGCCAAAAGATAACAAATAAAAATATAAGTATTGATAAACAATATACTTAGATAGGATTAACGCTCAATAAATTTAGTTATACGATTGCTAATTGTCATGATAAGTCGTATCGTAAAGTTATAAATGCTTGGTTCGGCGTAAAAAAAAGTTACCTATTACTGGCGTGATTTACTATCAAGATGATTAAGCGTGTTGGCAACTGATGACAGTCCTATCTTAGAACCTAGTTGAATCTTTAGCTTTAAAACAAGATACTAAGAACAGATGATTTTGATGTGTCCTTGTGACTTTACCTATCAAATTTTCAGTGATTTGTATTAATGGTATTTGTCGTGTACTGTCAGTACTAAGTTTGTATGAGACTTTCTTATGTGCGATAGATAGTACTGAAGATGTACGTCCACGTGTTCAGTCTGATTGAGATCAAATACTAACAGAATATGTCATATGCTTGCCCTATTATCCGGGTTATCTCTCGTACCATATACAGGCAGTATTTTACACAAACAACCCCCCGGGCATGACGCATCCGTGGCTTGGTTATTACGTACATGTTCAAAGACATGAGTACAGAACAGCCAGTGTGATATATGCTCGAGGCAACAAGATTTTCGAATCATACTTAGAATAAGACCGATATGAAATCATCGATCAATGTATCTGATCGACAAATCAAATGAGCCGCGTAGGCTATTCTGTCGGCAGTCCTAGTACGACTTAACACAGAAACACTGAACATGCAACTTTACACCACAATATGTCAATAATATGCAATAAATTGTTTGCACTGCCATTGATCACGACGCGCTATGCTAAATATTAAGTGACGAAGTAACAACCCGGCTCGGAAACACGATAGTTTGGCCTACTATATTCTGTTGCAAGTTATGAGGTTTCATCATTGCAATGGCGTAAATATTAACACCTAACAGGCATACGGTCTGAGGGAACCGCCTAGTGGTACTGTTGTTTATGATGTCAAAGTTGACCGCATAACTCGGTCTTGCTTCCAGTTTACTCACCGTCCGCGAGATTCCTATGTGCAACTGAGATCTGTCCAAGTTTCGACATAATCTCCGAGGAATCGGTTAAGTAAGTCTGGCGAATAAAGACTCGAAAACCATGGCTGTAAGCGCTGCGAAAAGCTCTCCAACACGCGGTAGTTGCTCAATCATCTATCAACAGCGCGCGTGGATAGCAGCGAGGGGCCCTTGCATGGCAGGGTGCAGCTCGCAGTAATAGGCATGACGCGAATCTTCGATCGCTTTTGCAAACGTATCTCTCCCTGCTCGTGTCTAGATGGAGCGACTTGGTGTTGGCAGACATTTACGGCATGGAAATAAAAATTACTGCATCTATAAAAGCGGTGTCGCATGATATTCGCGAGAATACAGTAAACTCACGCTGTCATGTTGACTGCTCATTGTCTCTTTCCCAGCTTATATTAGCAAGAAAGCACAAAGAGTCCGCTCTACAGAGCAAACCGAGCCAAATTCCAATAGTATCAGTGGAGCTGGCTGATATAGCAAGTCGGATACACGTGAAAGTTCTTGAAATTCTTTGATGCTGCGCTAAATTTGGCGGCATGCCATTGAAAGAAAGTGACTCCCGCTACATTGCAGCAGTAGGCAGGTATCATTTATGGGCATCATAAGATTAACATTACTAAATGCAAACATATATGATGCAAGTTTAAGTTAATGCGCACATGTGGACCAGCCTCGTAAAACACAACAATTTCGCTTGAGTCTCTCTTTACTGGAATGGACTATGCTTCAGCTAGCACTATTACACGACGCGGTTTGGGCCAGTGCGATTCCATTAGTAACAACATGCACTGTCTCAAGTTATCACATGACGGCTTGTGGCACTCACGAGCGCCTTGTTACTGCACTGAGTCTAATTGAACAAATTAAACTATGTATAGACTCTGAAATACATTAGACGAGCTGCAATCCCGCCATGGCAGCTGACAACTACTGCAGTGGATTATTTAATTTAAATCAACGACCATCCTTAAAAAATAATATTACACAACCTTTCATAGTAGAGCTGTAGAACTCAGATGTGATTTCATGATTGGTATCAATTTGTTTTAGATACTTCTAGCCGGTAGTATAAAATCGACAATGAAACTGATACATTATGCGTGATTTTTTTATCGACTATGATTATGAATAATATGTGCGATAGTATAAGTTAACGATGTACTATGTACAATGCACTGAATCAGTACATTTGGTGATTGTCTTATATTGGATGTATAATTTGTATTATGATATATTTTATTACTATTCATATGGAGCATGTATT